TCTATAACAGGTATTTTCCAAATTTTTCAAATATAAAGTTAATTAAGATGCTATATCAACCGATGTTTTTTCACACTACACTTGCCTCCAGAAAATTTTGAGATACTCTCCCACCCCCTGTCTCCCTGCCAGCCATACTTAAGAACTACTGCTCCAGATGGGGCAATTTCCAAAAATCAACTTGCTAGACAGTCAATTTACAAAAATGATTCAGGATTTTCAATGCTTTACCATAGCAATAACACAAGCAATGAACAGGTTTTCCCTTAAGTGCAATCTCACTATCTTTAATTATGCCCCACCCCAGCCCCAGTTACAGTCAGAATAAAAATAAAGCCTTAAACTGGGTCTAGTTCATATCAGCTATTTTGTGACCAAGGTAGACAATGAAATGGAAACAAACAAAAATCTGAGAAAATTCTTAAAATCTCAATAAACTGGTTGCTCTGCAATTTGGCTTCTGGCAAAGTGGTGTGAACTAAATAATCCTTGGGTTTAAACTATCAAGTTTAATTTTGGGCAAATTTATATAAAGCAACTGAGACAACTGTTTTCAAAATGGGTAGACTGAGGAAATAGAGAAAAATTATGACTGATAAAATGAACTTTCAATTAGACGTAATAAATTGATACACATAAAAAACAAGTGAGATCATGAAATACCTAAAATATATGTAAAGCTGCTCATTCTGACAGAAGTTCAAGAAATATCCAAGTAATGACGTTACTTTTTGCTAGTCGGATGGACAAAATTGTAAGACCAGTAATATCGGCACTGGCAGGTAAACTTTGTAAACTGTTGGTCAGAACTACAAATAGTATGTGTACTTTCTAGAGAGAACCTGGCCAACATCCTTCCGAATTTAAAATGTAAATACTATCTTAACAAACAATTTCACTATTAGCACTTTACCTTATGGACACACTAACTCAAATGCAAAAGGATAGATGTGCAAGACTATTTCTGAGGTATTTATGTGGAATGGGGAAAAAATATTCAAATAGCAAAGATATTCATCACTAGAGGAATTGTCAAAAAAACTAATGTCCATCCATACTATGGAATGCTATGTAGGTATTAAAGGATGAGCCAAAGTAATGATGCAGAGAATGTCTGAAGTATTTGAGTAAAAAAAGGCAAGTTGTATAACATGTTTAGTATTATCACTTGAAGAAAAAAGCATAATTCTCTTTTATAGGTTAAAACAAACACAAATCAATTTACAGCTCCTACTCATTTTCACATATCCAGAGGGAGTGTTCACTCTTTTACTTTAGACACTTTTGTATTGTTCTTGTACACACACACACACACACAGTCAACCTGATTAAGGGCAAAGATAACACTTCACTTCTGTGAAAAAAGAATGGCCTTTTCAATAAATGGTGCTGGATCAACTGGAGATGACCTTAAGGTAGGCAAAAATTTCACAAACGAGATACAAAAACTAACTATTATATTTTATAATTCTTAATTTAATAATTGTAATTAGAAGTGCATTAACTTAATATGTTAAAATTAAGAACTGCTGTGCATCAAATAATAACCATTTAGATGATCAAAAAGCAATCTACAGAGAAAGTATTGACAATACACAAGTATACATCTGACAAAGAACTCATATACAGTATATACTTTTTTAAACCTACAAATTATATACGCACCAGAATTTCCACTCCTAGGTATATACACAATAGAAAAGCATATACATATACTCACCAAAAGACATGTGCAGGTCTTTAATGAACATACTTGTATATATGCTATTCTAATATACATATATATGAAAACTGAAAATACTCAAATGCCCATTAATCATAGATAGGTTTATTTTAATTTAGTCATACCATATAAAACTATACAGCAATTAACTACAACAACAGATGTCTTGAAACACATTAAACAAAAGACAGAAACAAAAGAGAAATATATAATTCTACTTTTCATAGCTCAAAAACAAGTAAAACTAATACATGGGGATTCAAGTCAGAATAGTGGTTACCCCTGAGGGTCTGGGTAGTGACTAGAAAGGGGGATTAAGGGGGTTCTTGATTCCTGGAAATCTTGATCAGGGTGCTGTGTACCTGGGCATATTCACTTTATAAAAATTTCTTGAATCCTGTACTCATATGTGCACTTTTCAGTATTTACATTATAGATCAATCAGAGGTTTACTTTTAAAAAATGAGACAATACCAAAGAATGTTTGAAAAGCACATCCATTAGTAACCAAACACATGAATAGTTAAATTAGGTAATATTATGACCAATTAAGTAAAATCAGTAAACAAGTATTTATTGAGTCCCTGCTATGGTCCAAGGAGTAGTTAGCACTGGTGATACGACAAGACAAGACAATGTTCACTCTTCAGCCTCACAGAGTTCACAGCTAAAATTTTTTTAAAAGACCAAGGTCAAGGGTTCAGATCCCCCTATGGGCCAGCTGCCAAAAAAAAAAAATTTAAAAAGGAAGAAAGGAAGGAGTGAAGGAGAGAGGGAAAGAGGGCAGGCAGGCCTAAAATGTTAAAGAGAGTAATAATGCATTTCTCATGGTGGCATAAGCTGATGTGATTCTTTTGACAAGAAATTTGACACCACATGTCATGATCTTCAAAAATATCCATATACTTAACGAATTATTAAAAATAGGATGCAAATCATATATTAGTATGATGACATGTAAAAAACATGCATAGAAAAAAATGAAAATATATATCAAAATGTATTTTTTTAATTTACCATTTTCTAAAAGATTTTTAATGAAGTCATACTGTGAAAAACAAATCAACCATAACTTGCTACCTAACACCAAAGTGCATTTTATACATTAGGTATTTTTTGTATCATTCAGGAGTTTTTTAATATGTGTATTTTCAAAAGGAAATATAATTAAAAAGCAAACCCTATTTAAAAATAAATCAGTAGAACTTTTTCTCTATGACAACCTAAATGTTATCTCTACATAGTTAGGAGAATAATTTTGTGAGAGCAGAAATCCCACAAAGTAAATATCCAACACAAGATTTCTCTTTCAGATGATTTTAAAACTGCCCACATTCTCTTAAAGATCTGTTTGGTCATAAAATGCCTAGAGGCAAATAGATACAGAAAGGAAGTCTTTTCAACAAACTCACTCTAAAACCATTTCTAATAAGTTTATTGCTAAAGCACCATTATAAAATCAAAGATGCATTCACTTGAAAAGAAAACAGGGCATCTCAATAAAATAAAAACAGATGTAAAAAGAAGAAAAGCTTCTGAATGCATTCTCTAAACAAAATAAAGATAAACAAAAATACTAAAAATATGAGTAACACTATACCAAAATAAAAATAAGCCCTTGTAAGTGGACTGAGGAAAGAGTATCAGAGACAAAATCTTGAGGAAAATCTAAAGTAGACTGAATAGATGAGAAACAAAAGCCATAAAGGAGGAACCAAAGAGATAGGAGGAAAGCAAGGAGAGTGCAGAAAAAAGACAAAGTCAAGAGCCCAGGTATCACATTAGGGAGGAAACTCACACTGAAGCAGGAACTCTGGATTTGGTCTTTAGGATGCTGGCGTTGGCATCTGCAATGGGGTGGGGACAGGGTTCGGGGGGGGTCTGGGTTCACAAGCACCAGAGAGGCAGGGCCTCCTGCCCCCAGGAGGACAAGAGGCATGAGTGAGAGCACATGAACATAGGACTGAATTTCTGAAACTGCTGATACATAGAATTGGGCAGAAAGGTGATGCGAAGAAAAGCTCCCCAGCCGAGACTACAGACCACAGATTTACTGCAGCAGCTGGTTTTTTTCCCCCAGTATCACCGAGTGGCCCACATATAGGAGAAGAAAATGCAGGTGATTGGATGGATGACATTTATGTGGAAGGTGGTGGTAATACCACAGAGGCGGAGGCAGCTGGAGCTGACAGATAAAAATGTCAGAGCACAGGACTTAGTTGAGAAAGCAAAGCAAAGAGGCTATACGCAAGGAGAAGAGGGAAGGGTCAAGTAGAAGCAAAGGGAGTAATGGCATGAGAGGCTGAAAGTACACATGGGTGTCATCAGAAAGTGAGATAAATTCATTTGGGTGGTGGCATGGTCTAAGGTTTAATCTTGGGATTAAATGGCTGGGTTGTGACAATCATTACAGTAGAAAAAAAATCAAAAAACTGTACACAGCTCAAGGTAGAATGGTGAATAAAGTTCACTTGGCTGGTGAGAGAACTTTGCTGAGAGAGGAAGCTGTAGGCAGGTTTCCCAGCACTTGATAAAGCAGGAAACTGACGAGGAAATCATAAAGAACAGAGGCGTAGAAATGGGGTTGCAGAAGCCTTAAAGGAAAAGACTTTGCAAATAAAAGGGCATCCAAAAATATTTCATTAATAATCCAACCATTTTTTTAAAACACTAAATATAATGCCATCTCACAGCTAGATTCTTCAAAAAAATTAGAAAACGGTTAAAATATTGCTTTTTAAAAAACTAAGTCATATATTTATTAATATATTTTAATTTAATGGGACACTAAATTATTACATATCTTTTTTCACTGTGAAATGAATAAAAGTACATATGTCAAAAAATAGAAAAAATGTCACCTATATAACTATTATATAGGTGACTATATATTATAACTATTATTGTGATAATGTTTTAGGAGAGTTATAATCATTATTGTATATAAAGTTTATACTAATTATTTCCCAATTAGCCATAGGCATTTTTTAAGCCACATGCATTTTTCCAAGTTAATTTGAACACCTGCATGATATTTTATCAAGTAGATTTTCAAAATTTATAAATCAATTCTTCCACTGCTCATCTAATCTGAGGCTATCATAAATTGTGCAGGGGTACAAATCAGCGTGTATAATTTTACATTTTCAACCTAAGAAGTAAATAATTAACAGTGTGTCTAAGGTGAGAAAGTTGTTCCTAAAGGTTGAAAGAAGAATGGCAGGCTTATTTTCAGATACACTACCTCCTCGGGTCACTGACAAGCCAAAAGATTTACCTGGAAGAAATCTTACAAAACGTGGCATGAAGTGAAATCTTGGGCAGCAGGGAGGACTGTCTTCAAACAAAGGACCTAAAGCAAACAAGTGAAAAGGAAAAGAAAAAAGAAATCACACAGCCTTAGAAAGCAAACACTGCAACTTAATTCCTAAGATTTATGAGAACCACAAAAACCACCACCAAAAGTAGGGATATAAAAATACCACTCCCCCCACTCTTTACTTCAATAGCTAAATCAATCACTGGTAACAATGCATCCAATGAATACTGCAATAAGGAGACTACAGAAAGTCAAGAGGAAAACAAAAGCCCGAAGGAGCAAATAGTGCAATAACGTTACTTTTAAAAATTCAAAAATATCAACATTTTTGTAATAACTGAATTATTGCATTATGTAATATACTTACATGCTCCCATTTTAATCAATACACTTAAAAAAAATTGAGAAATGCTAATGGTTTGAAAAGCTATTCATCAATACACTACTTAAAAATAAATAAGTAAATTTTTGCTGGAATACAGACACTTCCAAAGGAGTAAACTATTATCCAAGAACCAGTCTTTGAATCTATGTAGCTCACTCTGCCTGCATGCATGTGTGTTTTAATGACTAACCGAAGTTCTGTTTTAACAAACTTTAGTCTTAGAAGTTCATTACAGTATAAGTTCACTAGATTTAAAATATTAACTAATGAGATTTTCTTAAATGCACATAAATCAAGGTAGTGGTTCATAATAACTGGTACCACCTATTTAGGTAATAATAGGCACTGTCAAATTGTACGAAGTAAAATCCGTAAGAATTTATTCATGTTAACTGATAGCAAGCATTCCTATGAATAGCTCACTTTTCCCAACGTCTTTCAAAAATAGTGCCCTCACTTTGATAAGAGTTTTTACCATAACATTTATAAAAGAGTTTATACCACAACATTCTTCTACAAGCATTACTCTTCTCTTTAAATCCTATTATTTACCTTTAAGATTCCAGTCATATAATTCCAAAATGTCTCTGAATAGGAACAGTGAAAAGAGTTCAAGCCCTTTCACACAAAAATTCTGAAAAATAAACCAAAACCAAATTACTGTAGGTCTCCAAATATATTAACTGAAGGTTCAACTTGTTCTAGTCAAGTATCTTAAAAAGCGTCTGTTAAAACTATACTAAAGCCATATAATTTCCTAAAAAGTTTGGCCACTGCCTTACAATGGCTCACTGGTTTCAGACAGAAATAAAGTAGATAATAATGCCATCAGGATTCCTACAGAAATGTCAACTCAGCCCTTCTCAGCATACAAATAAAATGATGTGAAATTTAAAATGTAAAGTATCACTTAGGTCATATTTTTCTAACCCAGTGATAAAACTTTATCAGAATCTCTTGGGGACTTTTTGTTAATTCTAATTACATACCTGCAGGCTCTGATAGGCTTGTCCCCCACCACCACCCGACACACCCGGAATCACTGTTACGAAGTTATCAAAAAATACAAGTCCTTTGTATCAAAAAAGTTCAAATTTTTAATGAAAGCAAATAAACAGCTAAGAATAACTATAAAACTTTGTACCAAAATTTCTCCTGTAAACAAGCTAAACAGATGATATATTTGCAAGTGAGGCTTGTCTCATAATTCTTCCTCCTACTTGTTTTGCTCGGGCTTCATAAATCACCCTGCGTGAGATCACGCCAGAGTCATAAGCTTTTACAATATCAAATGAAGGCTTATGACCTTAAAAACCAAAAGGAAGCAAAAAAGCCCTTTTGAGAGAGAGAATGAGGGGGCAGCGCTTTCTCTTTAATTATTTTTGAAAGGCAGGTAGAGAACAGGACTTGCTCAGAATGAAATAGGTGCCAACTAAGCATGCACGTCATGCCCATCAACTCCCCCTCAGTACTCACTGCCCATGACAAAGCTGCCCTGTTAAACAAGGTTTGCAAAAAGAGCCAGGGCCTCTGGAAATCAACCCCTACTCAACACAATGTTAAGTGCACAAGTTTGTGTGCTGTCTAATTGTTATTTCTTAGTGTGATTTGTTGATACCACTAAATTCACGATCAGGCAATGAATCATTCTGAGATTTGCATTAATCTTGCTTTGGAATTTTAAATCTCTTGCATATATTTAGATAAATCTGCTGCTGAGCATCCGCAATGAAAAACAATTAGGAAAAATATGTAAATACATGGGAAGAAAAATGAACCAAGCATTGATCTTGTCATTGGAGATAATGAATAAGATTATTCCAACAGCTATCAGATTCAGTTTCACTATTCCAATTTCCTCTCTGATAATGGCCAGTAACCAAAATCTGTCCCCTACGCAAAACAAACGGGAAACAGATGTGAAGTTACTATCAGCAGATGCAACACGAGCAGTAATGGGTTCAAAAATAGGTCAATGAGTTTTAAAAAATGACCTTAATTTTAACCTTTTACTAGAGCTACATCTCACTGACCCTTTTGACAGTGAACATGTCAAATACTTCAGGGGTATTCCTATGGCAAAAAGCCAGAGCTGGGCCAAGTTCAACGCTTTATAATGTAGTGTGGAATAAACAATTGAGCAAACTACAACAAACTGTTAAATGATCTTTTCCCTTACCTCAGGCATCATCTCTTCAATGAAATGAATTGTGTAGTCTATGTTGAATCTGATTACTTTACACAGTGGAATCTGCAATAAGAAGAGAGGTTCAGCTCCCCAGCACCTCCCAGCAGGCTCATACTGCACACATTTGCTACTTGCCCCAGAAAGCCATGAAGCAAATGCAAAGGTTTCACCTTCAGCTAAGCTGCTAACAACCCTGCACGTGAAGCTTGACTACAACTGCTGGATTATAATGGCAAGAACCCAGTTGGCCAGGCGTCTATAGGAAACCTGCATAATGCTGGTGCTTAACTAATGGCATGAGCAGCAGCAAGAAAAATATGACAAGAACTCATTAAAACCAAATATGCCGCCTCTAAAGAATTAATAAAATCACAGTCACAAACACTTCTTTTTCTCAGGCTTTTAAAATCTTTCAGAATCTTTGGCTCTTCAGGCAGATAGGGATGGCAAGCTGACAACTTAGTTATGGATTCACAGGTGACTGAAAAGCACATAATTTATGCTGTCTATCAGGCTCTGAAGAAAAAGTAATTGTGGTAATAAATATAATAATAATTACAACAAAAATAATTATTATTATAATAAAAATAATAATAGTTAACACTTATTGAGCCAGGCACTATTCTAAATACTGCACAATATTCACTCAGGTAAGCATCCCAACATCCCTATGAGATAGGCTCAGCTACTATGCCCACTTTACAGTCGAGAAAACCGAGGTGGAGTCATCAGGTAACCTGCCTAAGGTAAGAGGTAGCTGAATTAGGAAGTCTTGCTCTAGACCCCAGCTCTCAGCCACCAGAGTACACACCTCTCATTACCTGTTCTAATACTCAGGGTATGGGAAACTGAAGAAAAGTTCAGTATGAGATAAATCTGCACCTGTCCTATTCTACCAACGTATTGTCAGATATTAGTCTAGTGCTTAGACATAACGGATTTTCTGTAAATATATTTTTGAATAAATGAAAGAACGAGAAAGGAAGAGAGAAAGGTCACTGCAGTGGCATGGCTAGCTAGCTAGAGAAAAGCTTAGCCTTAGAAGCCCTAGAGATGTGTTAAGAGGGCTTTTCTAGCTGCTCAAATCTGTCTATAAGATGATTTTATATAGATGTAATCGTTTTTACAAACCATAGCAATCAGAAAGAAACAAATCTTAAATTATACCAGAAAAAAAATGGTAAGGAAAACAGAAAAAGAGTCCTATAACGCCACCTACTGGAACTCTTTTTCTCATAAATGAAGTTTAGTTCTTAGGTGTGTTTTCAGTTTTTATAAAGGATAGTGGTTAATCTGAGTGAAATCCATAATTAACTTTAATAAGACATCTATTTTCAACCTTCTTGTGGTAATGAGTTCTTAACTAACCAAAGCAATATGCTAAGCCCACTATCACTTTCAAGTTTGCTTTATTCCTGCAATCATTTAAAAATATTTGAGAGTTGCCCCTAGTGTGCGATAAGCCGGCCATTGTGTTTCTCTTGTGCTGCGTCAGCTGAGTTAAAGCCCTTAGTGCGATGGGACGCTCCACCGCGGAGCCTGCTGGGAAAGGCTCTTGCTCATGCCACTCTCACCCTGTGGTACCCTGCAGTCTCCAGGAAACCCTGTACTTTCCACCCAGAAGAAGGCCCTCCCTGGATGTGCCCCGGGATCGTGATTTTCCAGTCTCCAAAAGTGATGTGATATCCTAAGTTGCTGTAGAGAGTCACCAGAAGAAGGCAGCCCTCACCAGATGTGTTTCCTGGACTTTGGACTGAAACTGCTGGCAACCATTCAGCAGCAGACCCTCTCAAGATTGTCTATTTGCTCTTGCTCCTGTTGAATTACCACCCTTGGAAGCAGGAGATGGGCTCAGCATCAGCCAACCGGACATGATACAGGAAGAGCAGTGAGGGACGGAACTGCTGTGTTGTCACTAGATTAAAAAACAAAGACTCCAGGGGAACGTCCAGCAAGGGAGGCGGAGGCTCGGCAGAAACCACACACCCTGTAGGGCTGCCACTGCGTAATCCAGCAGCCCAGCCCAGTGCGCACAGAGTGGGGAGACGTCCGGCAAGGGAGGCGGAGACTCAGCAGAAACCACACACCCTGTGGGGCCGCCACTGTGTGATCCAGCAGGTAGGCTTCACCACAGGCACCCGGCTCCATTCCCAGCCCCGTCTAGTGCGCTCGGAGAAGGGAGACGTCCAGCAGGGGAGGCGGGAACTCCACAGGAACCACACTGCTGCCCTGCGATCCAGCAGCCCGGACCAATCCGTACGGAGCACAGAGACGTCCAGCAAGGGAGATAGAAGCTCCGTAGAGTCCACACACCCTCTGGGGGGCCGCCGCTGGGTGATCCAGCAGCAGGTAGGCTTCACTGCTGCCACCCGGCTCCATCCCAAGCCTGGCCTAGCGCGCACAGAGCAGGGAGACATCCTGTAGGGGAAGGGGAAGCTCTGCAGAGACCATACACTCTGCAGTGCCTCGGTGGATCCCAGAAGCCCGAGCTAGAGCGCACAGAATGGGGAGAAGTCCTGCACGGGAGGTGGAAGCTCAGCAGAGACCACACACCCTGCGGTACCGCCCCGTGATCCAGCAGCCCGGCAGAGTCCAAGTTGACCAGAGAGGTGACTCCCCAGAGAGGCCCAAGACCAGAGGCAACCACACATGCAAGGCACTACTGGCCAACTGAGCAGTCACGGAGGTAGCCATACCAAATTGGCAACCACAGCAACATCTTAGATAGTCAATAGTGTCAAACCTGAGGACTATGAAACCCCCAGCCACAATGAATAAACATCAAAAAAAAGATACCAGAAATACAAAAAATCAAGAAAGTATACCACCAAAAGTTAGTAAATCTCAAGCTCTAGATCCTATAGAACAAGAAGCCCTTGAAATGACTGACAAGGAATTTCGAGTGATAATTCTAACGAAACTGAATGAGATACAAAAAAACTCAGCTAGACATCATGATGAAACAAGGAAAAGTATACAGGACCTGAAAGAGGAAATGTACAAGGAAATCAATGTACTGAAAGAAAAAAAATGTAGCAGAATTTGCCGAACTGAAGAAGTTATTCAGTGAAATAAAAAACACAATGGAGAGTTTAACCAGCAGG